GGACTGGAGTCCGTGTTGATGAAAACACCTTGGTGGCTGCGGTGACTGGCAGTGGCTGCAGCAGCAGGGTGATGAGGCTGGTGCCTTCCCCTGATCAGCCCAGTCGCCTCCCACAAAGGGAGGCCAGGCTGCGGCTTAGGCCCACTCCCCAAGGGGAGCAGGGAGTGGGCCTAAGCCATCACTAGAACATCCCCTGAGGGCTCTCAGTATGTGAGAGGGGGCAGGCTGGGCTGAGGGACAACCCCCCCCCAAGTGCATGAATTTCATGCACAGGAGCGCTAGTGTTTAGATAAAGGAAGGGAGAAAGAGAGAGAAATATTGAGGTGAGAGAAACATCTATCAGTTGAGTCCCATACCTGTTCCCAACCTGGGAATCAACCCCGCAACCATTTGGTGTACGGGAAGATGCTTGAACCAACTGAGCCACTTGGCCAGGGCAAGGGGATGAATATTTCTAAGTGGGAACAGGCTTTCTCTAAAAGAAGAAGGAATTTTTTTAAAGAGAGATGCAAATATGTTCTCTAAGAAAATCAGAAAGACCCAGCTGCAGTGTAATTCAGCTCTTCCTTGAGTGGAGGAGGCCAGGAGCAGTCATCTGAAAGAAACAAGGCAATGGCAAGAAAATATGACAGGCTGTAAGGCACTTAGAAACACCACCGCTGTGATTTCCATAAGCAAAAGGTATGTTAATTATGCCTCAATGGGTCGGGGGCTGCACCAACCCATCCCTCTGCAGCCTGAATGAAGACCCAGAGCTAATGTCTCCTGTGTGTACACAGTGTGCTGGGCAGTGTCCGTAAGTACTTTATCTGAGTGATTTCAATGAACCTTCTACAGCCCTAGGAAGTAGGGATTGGTATTTCCCCCATTTGACAGAGAAGAAATAAGGAACAGAAAAATTAGGTGATATGCCCAGATTGTACAGCTAGTTAGTGGTGGAGCTGGGACTGGAGCCCAGGTAGCTTGACATCTGGCCTCCTCCCAGATCATCTCTAGCTGCATCATAAGATCTCATAAAATCCCAGTACAATGTTCCAAATTAACTTCTTCTCATTTATAAAGGAAATATTTACCATGAAACACCTGGTAGAAACCTAATGGTCCTAGATAAAAGAGTCAAGAGCATCATTGTCAAATGTTAGTGTGCATAGAGAATACTTGGGTGCCTGCTAAATTACAGATTCCCAAGCCCCACTCCAGACCTACTGCATAAAATATCACGGCATGCGATCCAGGAATCTGCATTTTTAACAAATATCTTGAGCAATTCCAATGCAGGTGATCTATGCACCATACTTTGAGAAACCTGGCCTAAATAATGCAATAAAAACCAATAGAAGAAAACAACAATCTGATTTTAAAAAATGGGCCAATAATCTGAATGAACATTTTTCCAAAGAAGATATACAGATGGCCAACAGGTACATGAAAAGGTGCTCAACGTCATTAATCATCAGTGAAATGTAAATCAAAACCACAAGGAGCTATCACCTCACACCTGTTAGGATGGCTATTATCAAAAAGACAAGAAATAAGTGTTGGCGAGGATGTGGAGAAAAGGGAACTCTTGTGCAGTGTGTGTGTGTGGGGGGGGGGGGACATAAATTGGTTCAGCCACTATGGAAAATAGTATGGAGGTTCCTCAAAAAAATTCAAAATAGAACTACCATAAAATCCAGCAATTCCACTTCTGGGTATTATCTGAAGAAAACAAAAACACAAATTTGAAAAGATATATGCACCCCCATGTATACTGCAGCATTATTTACAATAGCAAAGAAATGGAAACAACATAAGTGTCCACTGATGGATGAATAAAGAAGATGTGATACATATATACAGTGGAATATTATTCAGCCATAAAAAGAATGAAAGCTTGCCATTAGCAACAACATGAATGGACCTTAAGGGCATTATGCTAAGAGATATAAGACAGACAGAGAAAGACAAAACCATATGATCTCACTTATATTCCTTATATAAAACCAAAAAACAGGGTGGTTGTTGCCAGAGGCATGGGGGCTGGGCAAAATGAGTTAAGGGGGTCAAAAGATACAAACTTTCAGGTATAAAATAAATAAGTCAAGAGATGTAATGTACACCGTGATGACTATAGTTAATAATACTGTATTGCATATTTGAAAGTTGCCAAAAGAGTAAATCTTAAACGTTTTCAGCCCAAGAAAAAAATTGTGTAACCATGTATGGTGACAGATGTTGCAATACATAAAAATCACATCATTATGTTGTACACCTGAAACTAATATAGAGTTATATGTTAATTATACCTCAATAAAAAGTTTTAAACAATAAAAAGTAATACATGCTTGTATTTATATAGTACCTTTCTTTTAAAATGTTCCAGACAGGCTCCAGGTACTTATTCATTCTCCCCAAGACCAATATGATCAATGAAAATCATATCGTCCCCTCTGAAGCCCACTTGACTGAGAAGGAAAGTGACCCCAGGAGAGGGCCCTGTCCTGTAGTAACAGAGAAGTATATGGCCAGGCCTGGAAATCAGGTAGTATCTGGTGATTTCCCCACCCAGTGTTCTTTTCCCTAAATTGTTCCCAGAAAATAGAGACGAGATCACTTATTTCTATTCCTTAGCTTCCGCTCCTATGTCTCTTACTTGCAATCATTGAACATTTCTCCATCGGCCCCAAATGCAATATCTAGGGGTGGCTCTAAAGTCTGCATCGCAAAGGCAATGCAACATATCTCCTGGATGAAGTTACTGAGGAGGCAAAAATCAACTTCCGGAGGGAATGAAATCTTGGGATTGACATTCATGGCTCGAATCACGTCCTGAAAAACAAAAAGATGGCATCCCCTTGTTACCATCCTGTGGCCAGAAACTCTGACAACCCCAAGGACATTATGACCGATGGAGGTGGGGAAAGAAAGTGTGAGTGAAAGCAAGTTAAAAACGAGAGGAGTGCATGTGCTAAAAGGAGGACGCCTTATGAATCGGAAGGGGGGAAGATGGCAGAATACGAATGACATATTAACTGCCAGGAGAGTCTCAAAAAAACTAAAGAAAAACCCCTTAGTAGCTTTTATTTATTCTTTCCCCTTTTTAAAATTCTGGGCAAGTTACATGATAATGTCCACACAGAACTCTGACTTGTTCATAATCTATAGTAATAATAATTATAATAGCTTGCACTTATTGAGAGTTCACTATATGCCAGGTCTTGTGCTAAGCAAATGACCTGCTTTCTTTCATTTAAGTCCCTCAAGAACTCGATGGGGTCATGACTATTGCTGCTCCCATTTAAAGATTAGAAAACTAAAGAACAGAGAGGTTAAGTAAATGTGCAAGGTCACACAGCTAGTAAGTGGCAGAGCCAGATGCAAATCCACACCTATCTTTCCCAAAATCTTAGGAACAATGATGTTCTATCTTCCGATTTTAAGGGCCCAACTAAAGAAGTAATTTTCATCTTTTTTCACCTCATGACACACAAACTAATTACTAAAATTCTGCGGCACACCAAAAAAATTTATTTTGTGCCGATCTGACAAAAAAAAATATAGGTATGCCCTGACCAGTTTGGCTCAGTGGATAGAGCGTCGGCCTGCGGACTCAAGGGTCCCGGGTTCGATTCTGGTCAGGGGCATGTGCCTTGGTTGCGGGTACATCCCCATGGGGGGTGTGCAGGAGGCAGCTGATTGATGTTTCTCTCTCATCGATGTTTCTGACTCTCTATCCCTCTCCCTTCCTCTCTGTAAAAAATCAATAAAATATATTTTAAAAAAATATATAGGTATAATTTTGATTCATTCACAGTGGACAGCTATTGTTGTGTTGACTGTTGTCATCTTTTTTACTTGACCAGCTAAGGGAAAAGAGGTCAGTGCCCCTAACTAGTCAGGTATTTCGAGTTTTAAAAATCCGTGCAGCAATCAGTGTGTCGCGGCACACTGGTTGGAAATCACTGATTTAAAGACTAGAACTAGCAAGCTCAAAATATTTCCTTCATACAATGTCTAAGAAAGAAAGAGCCATTATTGGCTGGTTCTACAAAGTAACTTGCATGCTGCTCATTTCTGCTTTTCCATTACCTAAAGAAGCACTGAATGGGTTCCTGAGTTATTGGAATTCCGTGTAAATATCATTAGCAGCAAGCTAGCCCCAAGAAGAGACCCAACACTTACGTTGACACTGTTTTGGGAATCGTATAGATCAAGGTGACAAATTATATAATCCGTGACGGCATCCTCAAAGTCATTCGCCCCCATATAAGACGGTGTCAAAGATTTCCTTACACGGATCTTGAAATGTCTGAACGCCATTTTAGCTACATGGAATGCCTCCTGCACATAAAAATTGCAGCAAATTTATTTGGTGAGACGAGAGGAGCAAAGAAGTTCAAAGCAAGGAATGAAGAAATTCATCAAAAATGAAACATCATATGGGTTTTCTGACAGCTAAACACAAATGGTCAAAACTATTTTTAATCTGGGAGAAAATATATCTCTCAATTTTGAAAAGGACCTAAATACAAATAAGACCATTCACGTCCACTCATTTTAAGACAGCGGACCATTGTTTTGGTAACACGGAGTGCAGGACAGTACAGAAGTTTAAGGAAGTCAATCACCTGTGGTTACATAAATACTTGGAAGATGCTAGCTGATGCTATCTATGCTCCCACAGTAACACCATATTACTTGTCAAGAAATAAGAGAAAAATTACCAATTGAGTGTTTACTATACATAGACACAGAGCAGGTGTTGGGCATGTTTCTTGACATATATTAATTCAACAAACACTTATTAAATGCCTGTTATGTAGTCAGCACTGAGAAAACCTAGTTATACATGCAAGACATGGCCTCTATGCTCACAGAACTTTAACCAACTCCGTAAGAGATTCTCAAACCAGACACTGGCAAACTTGTTTCTGGAAAGAGCCAGATACGTATTTTAGGCTTTGCTGGTCACATACTGTGTCTGTCGCATTTTTTTTTAACAACCCTTTAAAAATGTAAAACTATTCTTATAGTCTTAGCTCTTGGGTGGTATTTTTCTTAGAAATTTAGGTCACTGTCAGATATAGCCCGCAGGTCCTAGTTAGCTGACTCGTGACATAAATTCATAAATACAGGATAAAGGTCAGTAGATTCTGATTATTCTGCTCTCATACCAATGTCCTGTTTTATTTAATATTTAATTGTTCTCATGTTGAACTCAGTATCTCAATATGGTACCAAAGGAACAACGCTTAATTGCTTTGGGAATTAAGGATTACAGATGAGCACTTTGTAATCCGCCATATTCAACTAGCTATGTTCCCAGTGTGGGTAACTACTCTTCTGATCTTTCTAAGAACAGAAGGAAGTCAATCAAATGATAGCCATTAGCAATCATATATACACTGATATATCCACGCCCATTTTGAAGATTCCATGCACATCGACTAAGGTATATAACCATTCCAGATTATCCTATAATTATAAACCCTTAAACAAATGTCTGGTCAATATCAATATATTAATACATATGAATAGTTACTGATTGTGAAAAAATGATTCATCCCAAATACTTGCAATGGAAGCAGGGAAGGAAGAAAAGAAGAAAGGAAGGAAGGAAGGAAGGAAGGAAGGAAGGAAGGAAGGAAGGAAGGAAGGAAGGAAGGAAGAAACTGGTCAAAGGAACATCAAGGCCTCTAATATCTCAAGGGAAATATTCTACAGCATCCCACAGGTTTAATAGATTTGAGTCTTTTGGTTCCTCCTAAGTGGTACCACACACTCTACTGGCCCTCCTGGGTTTCCTTCTATATTGGCTTTGCTAATTATATTTTGGTTTCTGACATCTACTTGTAGGAATTCATTAAACATTAAACAATGGCATTTCCTAGGCATTCAGGAGGGGTGGGGAAGAAAGAGGATGATTTCTCTTCCCATCCTTTCACATAAGATGCATATGTAAATCCTTCCTCAGGCAGAACCTAATGAATTCAAGCCATTGGACCATTATTTTCATTTCCTTTTTAGTGCCCTGGGTAATATCAAAACACATGCTTATTTTAAATTACATAGCCTTGTTATCATTGGAGTGTTTTCATAACTCAAACTATATATGCAGACTTTGAATGCCCTTGAAGGTAAGCTTTGGTACATCTTTAAATATCAAAATGATGATCAATGATTTAAGAATTCCCAAAGCAAACTATTATGGAAATGAGCAAACTTTAGATGAGTCTTATTCCATTCTAGAAGGGCCCGGGCTGCAGCTGCGAGCGACCGGGCTGGGAGACTGGCTCCGGGCGGACCTGTTGGGAAGCAAGAATCAGCGGGGACACACTCGGATTCACGTTTCTGTCCCTCCTGGACTCTGCTTCTCCCCACAGCAACTGCAAAGGATGCTCAGGAGCCGCGGGCCCCTGCAGGCCCGAGAGCCGCTGCCTCCGGGGCCTTCCCCCTGCGCCTGACCCGGGCACCGTCTCCACGCGGCCTCAGATGGGACCACAGCGGTGAAACAAGAAGCGTTTGCAGGGCGCAGGCCGCTCGGTAAAGCACGCTCGCTGCCTGAGCACCTGTTTAGCCTGCCGCAGCCCGTGAGCCCAGCGTTGATGGTTGGCCACGTTACAGATGAGGAACTGGAAGTTCAGGAAAGTTAGTGGGGGCCCTGGAGTCACACAGCCAGGAAGCCAGAGGTAAAGGAGAAGCCAGTTGTCTTTGCTTCGTGCCCCGGCCTTGGCGAGCTTATGGTATAAAATGAGGTGCACACTGAGCAATGAGAAAGATCTGTGCTGTAGTTCCGGCCCCACCGCGTCACAGCAGCAGGAGCGACTGAAATCCTTTCTCCCCTGCAGAGCTTCGCCTACGGCATTTTTGCTCTGTGGCGGGCTGGGGTGGAGGAGGGGGGTGGGAAGAGCAGATGAGCCGATCAGTAAAACGTTTATGGCCACCAAGTACAATAGAAATTACCAAACTAGCTAGCCCAAAGGCAATGGGCCCCCCCAAAAGGAGGTTTTGTAGAAGGAACTATAGGGCAAGGTGTCTGATGTCACTAAACTCAGAGTGAGGCAGAAATGCACAGAGTATATTCTTAGGAGCCAACATGAGCCAGCAGCAGCTCAACACTGAAGGAGTGATTCCCCACCATGAAAGACTAAGGTGACATTTAGGGACATGGGGACCGGGCATGGTAGCGACTTTAGTAACTTGAATCGGGGCATGTTATCAGGCTGGGAAGGGGAGGGGGGTAGCCAGCACAAGGAACATTGCAACGACTACAGAGAGAAACACCCTGCTTTGTCCTCACTCAACACTGTTTGAACGGCCTGCCTTCGTGTCTGTCCATCGGTAGAAAGGGATTCCACAGGAGCAGGTACCTACACCTTCATCAAAGGGAACCACCCTACAGTAAAACGACAGCTGGTCCTCCCCGGGGAGCACTCTCGGGCCTTAAGAGAGCGGCCCCTCATATCCTGGAACATTCTTGCAGTAGGGGTACCACCCCTTGCCTTACGGGCCCGCTCAGCTCTGGTTTCAATCGAAGAACTTCCCTTTCTCACATTGCTCAGCCTCATGCCTTACGCTTCCGCGTCAGCCCCACACCCATGAGTGCCCGGATTTGGCAATCCAGGAGGTAGTTTCTCTCTCTGAAGGGTCAGATAGAGAAGACAATTTACCATTCAAAGCTTCCCGTATTGTTGGGGTCTGAGTTCAAGGGAGTCACTTTGCTTGGTTTCCCAACCACAGTAATAGTTACTTTGTTGTTTCACTAGCACAAGGCACTTAAGAGAGAAGCTGTGTGAGAATGTGTCGGACCTTTCTTGGAGGGCAGACTTTTCGGCCGTCAGAGCAGCGATCTCGTCCTTCAGCGAGCGGACCTGCTTCTCATAATCGGATATCACTTCGGGGTCACACCGGTCACGGTCACGGTCACGGTCACGGTCACGCTTGTCCAAGCCAGAGATGCGCTTGTCCAAGCCGCTGCGCTTTTCCGAGCTGCGATGCTCTGACCGCCTCAACTCCGAGGTCCTCGGCTCCGGACCTCTGGACTCCGCACCTCTGGGCTCCACACCTCGCTCTGCGCTCTTTTGCACAGGGGCTCTATGAGCTGAGCCTCTGTAGCGGGAGTCCTCCTGGGATTGAAGAGATTTAAGCCTGAACAGAGAAAAAAAAAATTATTTTTTAAGTCAAGAAAGAAGAGAGAGAGGGAGGGAGGAAGGAAAGGTATTGTCCAAGCCGCTGCGCTTTTCCGAGCTGCGATGCTCTGACCGCCTCAACTCCGAGGTCCTCGGCTCCGGACCTCTGGACTCCGCACCTCTGGGCTCCACACCTCGCTCTGCGCTCTTTTGCACAGGGGCTCTATGAGCTGAGCCTCTGTAGCGGGAGTCCTCCTGGGATTGAAGAGATTTAAGCCTGAACAGAGAAAAAAAAATTATTTTTTAAGTCAAGAAAGAAGAGAGAGAGGGAGGGAGGAAGGAAAGGTAATAAGCAACAGTTGGCATACTTAAAACAGAGGCTACTCTACTTCGTGTGCCATGATTGCATTGGACAACTCTAAAGGAAATACATAGGAGCAAACACAGATTGGCAAAGAGTAGATTGCAGGGTCAGGGGGCCACTCCACCTCTGCAGCTTGCATTGGAAAATACTTCTGAAGAAAAGAAAGCTATGCAGACCCTCCAGCAAAAGCAGAGTGGGCCTGTAGTCATATTGTTCTAGATTGGGCTGATATGAACCACACAAAATTCTAGAAGCATTTGACCTCCAAAACCTAGTCCAGAAGCTGGGCGAAGATATTATGAACTATGGGGAGAAACTACAACGGAAATTGAACAACATCTATAAGACTAGGTGGAAGTGGGGACCTACGAAAATAATGTATTACAGAAACAAACGGAGCTTCAGAAATAATATTGGCATCCTCATAAAGAGACAAAGAGGCATGGCCATCGTAAAACAGGAGCAAAAGCCACACGAAGAGGACATGCTGTGATGAAAATGACAATGGTGTGAGACGGAAGTGTAAGGGGTAAGATTGAGAAGGATGTAGAGAAGCTAAAAACGCCACAGCAGAATTCAAAGCTGTGCTAGAAGCAGTAAAGAACAGAGTCACTGAGTGATCTGATCAATGCATTTGAGAAAGTATATCAAATAGGAATAAGAGATTAAAGTGATGAAAGGGGAGATTTAAGTGGAAAATAGAAGAGTACTCCAAGCTAAAATTTAGGGGTATTCCTGAAGAAATCAGAACAATTGGAACGTGTGTGAAGCAACAGAACAGTATTCATATATTAAAAAATATATATTATATATTATATTATATGTTAAATATAATATAAATATATATTATATAGTATATTATATATTTAAAAA